CGGTCAGCATCTGCGACACTTCACTCAAGTTTAGGTAATGACTCAGACCCCTCACTCCCCACGTGGAAAACACACTTTGCTTGCCCCACTTCTACTTCCTTGAATATCCAGTTGAAAGAAAAAAGGCTGGTTTGTGTGTGCTCAAACGTGAAAAGGGAAGTGTTGTCTGACCCGGGGTGTTCCTGCCTACCCTCAGAATCTGTCTTGGCTTTGTACTTTGTTGCAGGCATGTGAGCAAAAGCTTTGTATGTCCAACGAAGACTAGGGTCTTGCGGGTGTGACGCTCCACCTATGAAATGCTCAAATGCTTTTATGTTTTGGTTCGTAAGATCTTTGGTCGATTGTGGCTCACGAGGGAGGAATCTTGTCATTGATTTTGTCTTCCATTATTTGGTTAGGCGGTTTCCGCATTAGGAATTCAACGATATGGACCGTTCGTTATATTAGTACAAAGCGACCCTCACCTATTACCCGCGACAAGAACTGTAGGATGCGGTGAAACGGGTCGACAAGGCTGCCCTATTTTTACCTTTCTTTCCTGAACTATTCGACGCATAGGAAATATCTCCAATAAGCATGCACCTAGCAGCCTCGTTTGGCTCGAGGGTGCACCACGGAAGGATGGGTAGTTTCCAATTCATGTAGGTGTTGTGGGATTGAGAAGTGATAGGAATCGGTCTACATTTAGCCTGCGAATGCTCGATGTCATTCTATATATAACCCAACCTCTCGTATATTCCCCTTTTACTACGAGGTTCTTATGCCGCCGTTTCCTTTCTAGGACGACAACGACAGTTAGTTCACCGTGGCCTCCATCGCTTATCGTGTCAAACCTTGGCTAAGGGAGTGAGTCGGCCAGCCGGAGAAATGGGGGCGCGGGTAGCAAACAACACGGGTGCCGCAAGCAGTGCTGCCTCAAGCAGTTCACGACGAAGAATCGCGACGGTCGCTACCATCATGTTGTTTCCGAGCAAGACGGAGGCAAGGGCTTCTGCTGTAGCCATACGAGGATTTAGACAAGGATGGGCGAGAGTCGACCGCATGGTCTTACATCCAGCGGACGTCTACCCGACCGAGGTGGAGCTCAGGGAAGACCAAGGAACCCTAGAGGACCCGCCGCGGATTTACGCATTTGTGACTACGACTATGAAGCTGGTACTAAGCGTTGACGTGTGCCCCCTTAGGAAGAACCATTGGATCGACGTCGGGGTCGTCTACAACGTCGTGAACGAGATAATCCACCGCAAGTTCGAGGATGAGATCGTGTGGCTGTCCCTGCGCATTATGAGGAACCACCACGCTCGGCAGGGACCATTCGTGTACATTGAGCATTACGATCTCATTGGTCCATATGACGTCGGATTCCATGTCGAGGAGAGATGTGACGGTGAGGCCCTCCAGAAGCAAGAGGAAAATTTGCTAGAACTTTTTCGTATTTCATGTTGACTCTTGTGACGCAGGATGGCAGGAGCTCGGCTTGATCTGACAATCCCCAGGTATCTCTTGATTCGAGATAGGACCGATGCAGACCGCATCGCCTGGGCGGAGAGGATGTCGATGGTGTCCGATGGGACTCCGACTCGATGGCTCGGCTTCGTTGGGATCGTCAACAACAGACGTGGGTTTCTTACGGAAGAGCAATTGGAGATTTGACCGAATGTGATTCGACGTCCAAACGAGTTGCAAGGGCATACATTGTATTTCCATCGTGTCTCGAACATGGAGCTTGTCTCTCGAGTCACCGTTGGAGTACTCTTCAGACGATCAGGAGCGTGAATGGTGTTTCTTTGGCTTCGAAACACTTCTGCTCGACACCTTAAGCGCCTCGACATACCTTTCTGGTCCGTCCTGTTGACATTGGCGCGACGAATGGCGGAGCTCTACAACACGAGCGACCTACGACTACGATGGCAAGGACGAGTGCGGAGGATGACGATCAATGAGGCGTTCATCCGGCGGCATACCCGGCTAGATAGACGTGCTCGGGTGACTCACATGCTTTACGGCCACTAGGAGTCGTCCACCCTCTATAGGTCCCTCTAGAGTGGACCATCTGGGGGAGGGTAATGGGTTAAACTCCTAGAATCGGATCATCGGGCTTTCCCCTCGAGAGGGCTAAAACATCATAAAACTCAGTGGTGCCGACCAAGAAAACATGGTCAGCCCGCCCCTATGATTATTATTTTTCCGCGACGAATTTTGCTGGTGTCATGATGAGGGGTGAAGGCGACACATAAATTTCATTCCTTTTTTTTCTATATATTTAAGATTGACAGACGTTTGTAATTAGGCAATAACCTCTATACTAGGAGGGACGCAAGGGGTTTGGAAAAAAGGAAGTCACGGGAAAAATAATAGAGAATATCTCGGGCATATTGCTACGACACGGAGTTGCTTTGGCAAATTTGATTTAGTAAATTTTTGTCTGTGCAAATTGTGGATGTCGGCGGTATTAAGGAGGTGATCCTCTTGTCAGTTTCACGTACATCAATTGTGGAACACTCTTGAAAACTTTCCTTTCGATTTGTGAGATAGTGAAAACAAAGGCATATTCCTTGTCATCAGATCTCTCACATTTGCGAAAGATTGTTGTTCCACCTTTGGGATGATCCGCTACTTGCATGCCGCATTTGTATGTCTTCGTTTGTGACCTCTATGTGCCTTGGCTGTTATGTATGCGCGCTTCGTGATGACTTCAAAATGTTTGGCTGTAACGTTCGTGTCTTAATGCGACATCTATGTGTGACATGGTTGCTTCCTTATGTGCTTGTTTGCGACGTCTAGGTGTATCTCAGTTGCTATATTCATGTGCTTGGTTGTGACTTCAGCATATTTTAATGCAATGTATGAGTGTTTTTGTTATTCCAGTACATACCTTTTGCAAAGGAAGGTGCCTTTATAAGAGGGCAAAAAGCAGCTAGAGTTATGATCGATCGGGTGAAGTCTAACCAACCGACATGGTCCGCAGAAGAACAACCAACTACGAAATGAGCGGCTTCGTTGGGATCGATCTATATTCGGCTATAAGAGTTACCTGTACTACGGCGAAACGAGCAAAACGCCATTGGCTGGTCTACCTCTGCAATTGCATATAAGAGCTTTTGTATGTAGATCAGTAGCTCGGTGGGGATACGCCTCTAAGGATGGTGATAGCTCCTCAGGGAAGACGAGTTGTGCCTCGCGGGACCTTGACCTGTCGTAGGGGAACGCGAGAGGTACGACTAACGCACCCAGCCAAAGGGGCAAAACCCCGTCGTTCGCCTCGATGAATTTCGGGGGAAGCGTTCCGACTCTAAAAAGAAAAATATCAAACTCCTTCGTGATGTGGCCGAGAGGTCCCCCTTTGTGTGCGACGACGCGAGGGGGCCGTCGTGTCCGACAACACTACCCCGAGCTTCCAACAGCTGGTTAAGAGAGCTATCTAATCATGCAGCCGAAATTTATAGTGTGCATGCATGCGCGAAGAACACGGAATTGCAAGGACTTAGAAAGGAGATTAGGAGAGAAAGCGCCTACGTTCTGCATGGCCAGATCGTGGCGTTGGGGATGTAGCCACTCTCCACGCATCGATCTGAGCATGCAGCCCGCGGTGCTATTTAGGCACAGCAAAAAGGAAAGAAGGAGCGGGAAAGACGAAGTTTAGGAAAAAAGATACAGTTACAGTGGCGCCCGCCCAAAAATTACAGTTACTTGCAAGATTAAGGGCGCCGAACTCCATTGCAGCCGCAAAAAGAAGCGTGCAAGAAAGACAGCGTGCGGCAAAAGAAACCCCGAATTCCTAAATTCCTAAATTCCTAGCTAATGCAAAAAGAAATACTAATTCCGAAAAGAAAATCCGAAGTTCCGAGAGCCGTCAAGGCTCAATAAGATTCAAAAAGAAAAGAAAGGGATGTTCGAAAAGAACGAAGCAAAAATTCCCGCGCGATCTCCGCGCCTAAAATCCGACAATGGAACAGGAAAGAAGTGACATAAAACATTATTAATCACGCCTTGTCGGCGCAACAGCCACTCAATCGGCCCTCTCGAGACTTGCCCGGCCCTGAACCCAGCCATCCGAAAAGAAGCGATGAAAGAGAAAAGTCGAAAAAGCGAGGACACTGATGCAATTTTCCCTCAATCCCGATCTTCCGTAATTGGCCCAACCTTCCCATCTTAGGACACCTCATTGTCATCACGCAGAAAATCGTGCGGAACAAAAATTGGTTCGTCACATATGTGACGCCCAGGGGGTTCCAATCTTAAGCAAGCTCCTGCTTGCTTGAACCATGACACGTGTCGATCTCTCTTATCGATCGACACGCGGAGCTTTCTACGTTGCCACCAACCGTGCAAAGGAGTGTGGAAGTCATTCAGGGTGGCACACGTGGCTCTATCCTATAATTTTCCTCATGATGGGCTCTCTTCAGTCCGACGAGGGGATCATGTGTATCGTTGCCGTGGCACGTGCCAATCAACCATACATTAATGTCCTAAGGGAAGGGGAAAGGAAAGACGATACATGGGGGCATGGCGAGGGGGTGGGTTAGTCGGGAGTGGGGGTAGAAAGCGTTCCAACCCCGCGACTGTCTCTGGAAGCTCCTGGTATCGGACGGTCCGGTGGAAGCGAGGGAATCGATTACCACTATGAGAGAGGGAGGCGAGATAGCCGGGGTAAAGGGTGGTGAGAGTTCGAAGAAGCACCTTGCGGAAGTGATCGTGGTTTTTGCACGAGGGGATAGTCCCCGTGATCATGCAATAAACATCGATGATGTTGTGGCCTTGCCATGCGGCACTGTAGAGAAGGACGTGGAGGCAGAAGGCAAGGATGGCACACCGGATAGAAGGATGGGGATGAATCGTGACAGCAAGATGGGTGGCGTAGAAGAAACGAAAAGTGTCGATTGGGAAGGGATTGCTGGGGAAGGTGATGCGGGTAGTGATCTGGCGGAGGGTTAGGTGGTCAAGGGGACGACGGGATAAGGACTGGGGACGAAGCCCGATGCCCCGCATCGGTACGAGCTCGAACTGGTGGACGGGCTGAGGTGGAGGGAGAGGGGGATCGGCTTCGTCGTCACTTGGCCGGTGCGCTCGAAGTCTCGGCAGCAAGGTCCCCATCTTCTGGCTTAGGCGGCTCTGGATCCTTAGCTGGATCGTTTGAGATTGGCAGATCCACCTCGCTTGCGTACTCCAGCTGCTGCTTGCCGGCGGCGATTTCTTCTCTCTTCCGTGCCGCCTCGGGATCCTCCTCCGCGGCTTCCGCCTCTTCTCCCAAGGTTTCCCACTCAGATGCCTCTTCTTCCACCTCGTCTTCTTCTTCCTCGTTGTCGCTCTGCTCTCCCTCGTTGTGCTCATTGTAACTTCCCTCTTCTGGGGTTTCCTCTTCTTCTTCCTCGTCGCCTCCCTCTTCGTCCATTTCCTCCTCCTCCTCTGGTGTTATCGCTTCGTCTTCGGAGGCCGTTCGATGCTGAAAGAAAGCGAGGTTGATTATCCCCTGGGGATCCAGATATGGTTGTTGCGATGGCGGGTTGTTTTTGCCCGCAACCTCCTCAAGGCAAGCCGACCACTGCAGGTAAGGTGTCAAAGCCCATGAAAAGACATGCGGGACCGGGCTCTCGTCGCACTCCGAAATGATATCGAGAGGGAGATGGTCAACCACCTGCGTGAGGGGAATCATGAGTTCCTGTATGATCTGCTGTCGATAGCCGGGACGCACCGATCCGAATAGAAATCCGAGAAGGTCTCCTTCCACCTTCGTCCTCTACGCTTGGATGATCAACAGCTCCACGTATGCGACCCAAGCGAGTTGCTCTACGTCCCTTGTCCACGTTAGCTGCACTCCGACCAAACACACAGAAAGATCGACGAAGTGCTCACATTATAGTTCCCACTGTCTTCGGTCGAGGAGGGGAACAACAAGTGGTTCCAAACGAAAAGAGAAACGGGGGCAAAGGTCAGACTGTCAGAAGGTAGGGAAGAGAGAGGGGAGAACGAAGGTAGAGAGTCGGGATCGGCTGGAAAGGGACGAGCTCAGGAAGCACCACCGCGAGCTCATGTCGAGACGTCCAGAGTCCTCCGACTTCGATGTCGTCCACGGGGACAAGATTATCACGGCGGCGCGTAAGCCACTGATTCCACTTTGCTGCCAGCTGCTGACCCCACTCCCTTAGTGACGTCCGGAGGGGCGTGTGTCGCAGAGGGCTGATCCCGCTAATGTTACCGCTGAAGATGACGACGGTGGATACGTGGCTAACTCCTAGTGCTGACAGCCATCGAACCGTCGTCGCCTCTACCAGTAAGATCGCTTGATGATGGTCGGTGAATAGGAACTTTGCCGCTGCGTATACCCCAGCAGTGCTGAAGAACTGCGCGAGCCGTAGGAGGTCCAGACTGAATCGCGGATGTTGAACTTGCCAAATTGCCGAGATGTCGCCACGTGGCGCCAGCATGTGATCGCCGAGAGCCCGCTCAGTGAGAAAACTCATGGCGATGGCGATGAGGACGGAGTAAGAGAAGCAGAAGGGGATGAGAGCGATAAGGAGTTGTCTTCCTCTTCCGTAGCGAAGGAGGAAGTAGACATAACTGGAGATGGAGAGGAAGGGAGAGGACGTAGATAGGACACGTGGCATACGATCGGTCGAGCTGATCGGCTTCCCGAGACCTCTGGCACGAGGCGCACGGTGTTCACGCCGTTCGGGCTGAGTTCGATCACACGAAATCGCCCGAAGAATCGTGGCGCTATCTTCCCTTGGCGAGCACATTTCCTCACCTGCACCTGGTCCCCTAGTTTATACTGGGGCCATGGTCCTGTGTTCCCATTTCGGGCCTCGTAGCTACGGACCTCTCGGCCGTGGGCCAACTCAGTCATTTTCTAGCGCTTTTGGGCTAATCGGGAAAGTGACCATTCCATCAGTTCCATGTGCCGCTTGGCCTTGTCCCGAACCCTGGCTCTTGTGGGTCATCTGTTCAATGAAGATTCATCAGGGAGGCTCGGTATCGAGACACAAGCTACGCTATTGGTTTCGTTATTGGAAGGGGCTAAGGCCCGTCAATTCGTGAGGCGTTCCCCGATGGACCGCTAGGATGTGATCTACGATATCGGGCCAGGGCCTCGGATCCCTTGCCGCGATGTTTCGTCGCAGTACTGTCTTTATCACCCGATTTGCATTTTCTACCAGGCCGTTAGATTGTGACATGTGGGGTGCAGTGTTTCGAATAGCGAATCCATGTACGACCAGATTCCTTAAAACTTCCCCTCTAAATTCTACCCCATTGTCGGTCAGGATTTCCTGTGTATCCTGGTGTATCCCTAGAAACTGGTTGACTTATAGCGCAATTTTGACCGCCTATCGCGTACGACACGGATACGCCTCGATCCATTTCGAAAAATGGTCCACGAATACTAGTAGGATTGAATACTCGCAGCTATTCAGTCCAGGGGGCACCACAATATCGGTAGTATCCATGCTAACTCTCTGAAAAGGCCGTTCAACTACCTTCGGTACTATCGATCTTGGTGGCTGGATCGGCGCCTTGTCAGCAGCGCAGCCCTGACAATTCGCGACGATGAATTTCACATCATCGTGAATATTAGACCAATACCACTCATTCATGTCGATTGCTGCTTCCGTGATCCGTACGACAAAATGGGCTGTCGTTTCCTCATGCTCCGTCTTAACGCAGTCATACCTCATGAACGGGTGCGACACTACCATCCAAATCCCGCTGCCATACGTCTTCCGTTTTTCCAACCGGCCCTCGTTCCAGCGATAGTCCCGAGCCCTTTTGTTGGCCCTCATCCGATCCTCCTTGGTGAAGTCCCGGATGGGGTTACCTACTACGGTGGCAATTAGAGCGATGTTCGTCCAAACCTCGGCCCTTCTAAACTTCCGGGTCTTTTCCAACCCTTCTGACGTGGCATCCAGAAATCGAGCTTCGGTCGGGATCTTATCAGTCCGACACAAGGGACACAACCAAGGCTTATCGCCATATCGGTACTGGATGCTCGTGCGACACACTGTCGACAATTTATCCATTCTGCATACCCTTCCCCATTAGGACACATTGAGATCGAGTAGACGTGTGAGATCGCTTCACAAAAATAACAAAATTTGTCGGGCAGGGAAAGGAAAGATGAAGATGGGAGGGGAGAGAGAGTAGTTGTAGGATTACCTCCGTCACCCATTGTTAATCGCCTGCTTCTTGCCACGTGGGAGGATTGCCACTTGTTCGTACTTGGATCCGTTCGCTGACTCCGGTTCCTTCCACGGAATGATTTCTTCGCCCTTCGGTACCTTAGCGGGGCGATGCAGACGTGTCAACCCGTCCGCGTTGTCATGCCTCTCTGTCTTTTGGTGTATGATGTCGAAATCGTATTTCTGTAGGCGCACAACCCACCGTCCGATCATATCCGTGTAATTAGTCACGGTGAGCTTCTTGAGAGCCAGCAAGGGCTCGTGATCGGTTACAAGGATGAACTTTTGTCCGTATAAGTATGGATGGAAGTGTTGAATTCCCCAGACTACAGCATAGCATTCACCTTGCGGAGCTGAGTCGATCCTTCGTTCGTCTGGCACCGTACGAGACGCGTATTCGATGACGTGTTCTCGCCCGTCGTTCCTCTTCTACGCTAGAATAGCGAAAATTGCCTCAGAGCTGACATTTCGTTAAAACTGACATTTTTTTCTAAATTCACGAAAGTGGACTTAGTCAAAATTTCATTGCTCATCGGGTGAGAAAGTGGCCATCTGATGTACCTCAACGTAAAAGTACCGTTAATATACATCCGATGGTCAGATCATCGGGAGTCGCCACAACACCCGATGATCTGATCATCCGACGTCATGGAGACAAAAAAACACTAAAAAATGTATGTTGTTTTTTGGTACGCTCAATTTCGTGAATTTAGAAAAAAATGTTTGTTTTAACGAAATGTCAATTTCTGCCACTTTCTGGCTGCCAATCCGTTATGAGAATGAACTGCTTCGTGGGGTCCGGCCGGATCAAAATAGGTGTCGTCGCCAGAGCGCCTTTGAGGGTGGCAAAGGCCCGTTCGCACTCTTCGTCCCAACGTAGGGGCTGGTCCTTTCGTAGCAGATTCGTCAGAGGTCGCGCAATCGCAGCGAAGCCCTTGATAAAACGACGATAGTACGATGCCAGTCCCAGGAAAACTCGAACCTGCGTCACTGACGTGGGGACAGGAGCATCTTTCACCGCTGCGACTTTTCTTAAATCTGGTCGCAGTCCTCCACGTGTCACCACATACCCCAAGAACGAGATTTCCGAGAGGAAAAACTCGCTTATTTCGAGCGCGATCTTGAACCCAGCGTCTCTCATAGCTTCTAGCGTCCACTCGATGTGTTGTGCATGCCCGTGATAGGTCTCCGAGTAGACGAGGATGTCGTCCATGTACACAATGACGCAAAAGTTAATCATCCCCTAAGTGCGCCGCGTCTTGTTGACGAGGTTCTGAAACGTCACGTTCATCGCCCGCTGAAACATGGCAGGCGCGTTGCAAATACCCATCGGATATCGAACCCATTGCCACTTGCCTTCAAACAGTACGAAGGCCGTTTCCGGTCGATCTTCCTCCTTAACCACAATGAAATGGAAGCCGTTACGAATATCAAATTTACTAAAATAATAAGCACAACCAATCGCATCCAGCAAATCATCAATCCTAGGAAGGGTGTACACATCTTTAATCGTGATATCATTCTGCTTGCGATAATCAATGCATATGCGAATAGACCCGTTCTTTTTCGGCACCAATACTACTGGGAACGACCATGGTCCGGTGGCGGGTTCGATCCATCCATTAGCTTCGAATTCTCGAATCCGCTCAAGGGCCGTTTTTCGTTCTACCAAGGAGTATCTGTAGGGCTTACAGTGGATCGGGGGATGGTTTCCGGTCTAGATTTCGTGCTGTATGAACAACGACAGTCCGATGTCTGTGTCCGTCAGACTAATTGCTCCCTTGTATTCTTTTAAAATTTTCGCGATTAGATGATGGATCTCATCTGGTACGTATTGAGGCACGTGCAACTCGTACAACTCATCCCATATCCGTACATCGATGTGTTTCGTACTCACCCGCTTAGTTTTTTCGGGCAGGGGCGCGAAAATAAACGAATTGTCCGACCGCCAGGAGAATACCGTGGCCATCATCTTTGCATCTTGTTCTCGAATTACCACGTGTTCTTCCAGTGTGATTCCGTCTCGAATGTCCTTCCAAGGCACTGGTTTCATCGCAATTTTAATTCTGAGTCCAATTTCGAGGCGCTTAGGGGGTTTCGAAGAATTGGTCTCCACCCCTAAGCGTATCAATCATATCACTTTTGCAGGCGTCAAAAGAGATCATGGGAGATTTGTGATGTCACAATAGTGTCTTTTGTCATTATATCGTGTGAATAGAGGGGAGATACCTTCGTACAGGGTTCGAGGGGGTTCCAAAGAATCGACCATCCTCGAAATCTGTACGAGGGGTTCTCCCATAATCATAGCTTGCGTTCTATGTAGACTCTGATTAGTGAGGCTTAGCGATCTTGTGTTTGCTTGTTGTATAGGGTAATAGATACGCCGTTGTGCCATTTCCAGGATCACCGGATCATCCTCATCACTGATGTCCGTATCCTTTGACGGTTGCCCGTCGTTTGCGAAATTATCCCAGGTGATCACACGGAGGGTTCCCGCCATCATGGGAGAAACTCGCAGAGTCACATTAGTGGTGGTATGAAGGGTCAATCTCATCGGTATAACATACGGTTTTCCTCCTGTATTTCGGAGGACTATCAATCGTCTCTCGAAATCCAGATTGGCTCTAAGGGTCACAAGAGCGGGAAGACCGAAAAGAACGTCGTAAGTGTTTACGTCTAAGACTACGACATCTCCCAATGCATGTACCTTTCCTAATCGAAAAGCAACATTGGTCATCCGTCCCACCGTTTTAATCTTCTCCTCATCTGCTGAAACGAGTTGGTCTTTTTTCGTAAGCATGATTAGATCGTTCTTCCTCCATGCTTTTTCAACTACCCGTAACGAGATAGCCAGAACAGCGGCTCCCGAATCGATAATGACATTGTACGGGATTCCCCATATCTCGATATCACATTCGGCGGATTTCCATGGGATCGGTTTAATCCGTAGGAAGTGATCATCTTTTTGGATTAATCCTTATCATATCGGGTCTGAAGTTCCTGATGCATTTTCATCTGGCGTGGGATTTTTCGTTTTTGTGCTCGTTGTTTGGGCAAAGGCGAATCATTTTTGATTCGCTTTGCAGTGTTGCAGCATTCGTTCGTTGGCTTGTTCCGATATCGAAAGCACATGACTAATCGGAAGGGAAATCTGATGGTCCAAGGCTCGAACGATGTTTAGAACATTGATTTCCCCTGTGACAAAGGTGGGTTCTCCCGACTCCATTTCTCCCGGAGAAGGTCGCCACTTCGCCACTTCTCTCTGTTCTAGCGCGGGTCTAATCGTTCCAATCATCCCAAGCCCTGGGTAGCCAAGCTTTACATACTGATCCAATGAAATTAGTTCAGCAGCTTTCTCCATCGTAGCTAATGTGCTTCCGCCTCCTTCCATTTCTTCCATCAATGCCCCTACTTGCCCGGGTCC